TATCCTATTTGCCTGGTATTTCTTGAAAAAACCTGAACCAAACGTGGCATTTTCTAATATCCACCTACACTTTCCCATCAATCCTAAAATAAACCTTCAACCAAACACTACCTAAATATATCAAAGTTTCCGTTTAATTTATCCAATGTAACAACAGGAGGATTTTACTAGAGAAGATATTAAATATATCAAAGTCCATTTCTTTATGTTAAAATTTGTCCTATACGATTTTGTTAATTCATTTTTGATCGAATGGATCTAGTATTGAATTAGGATCAATGCTTGAGAATAGAAATAATGCGCGCGCATTTATGTAGGTATCCATTTTTGTTCATATATCATAATCATATATGTTATATATGTTACGGTAAATAACAGAAAATGTAATAGATTTCCGAATTTTAAATCGCGGATACATACATATCTTTACTATACTGAAACGACTTCCATTATGCGTATCAAACCAATAGCGATTTATACAAGCTAAATCTTCTAATCGAGAATTTGGCCAAAGAAACAATTTTACATTCATTAGTTTATTTTTTCCGATCCAGTTCCTCCACCACCGCGAACCCCAGTTAGATTCAGGCATTTCCTCCGAAATTGAGTGTTGAATTCTAATCAAATTAGAAAAATTCAAAAATTACAAACAAATTTTATTCACTGATAATAACTTTAAAATCTATTCATTTACGATGTAATTCAAACAAATCATTAGTGTTATTTGAGATTCATGTATATTACGAGTCTCATATTGATTACCTTTACGACTGATGTGGGGTTTATAAGTCCTTACATACTCTCAATTTTTTAGCTAGCTTTTAAGATGTGGACCTCGAGGTCCATAACAATTAGTGTATTGAATACTGATAGGTGAGTGAAGCCGCCAAAAGGGAAAGGGCCGTCCACCGTGGACGTCGGCCCTCAACATGCTTCATAATTGTTTGTTGGTTCAATTATTTCAATCATTAGTGTTATTTGAGATTCATGTATATTACGAGTCTCATATTGATTACCTTTACGACTGATGTGGGGTTTATAAGTCCTTACATACTCTCAATTTTTTAGCTAGCTTTTAAGATGTGGACCTCGAGGTCCATAACAATTAGTGTATTGAATACTGATAGGTGAGTGAAGCCGCCAAAAGGGAAAGGGCCGTCCACCGTGGACGTCGGCCCTCAACATGCTTCATAATTGTTTGTTGGTTCAATTATTTCAATTATTTAATACTTTTCAATAGTTTGGTTTTTCTTGTAAATTTCTTTGAATTGCCTATCTTTGCTTTGATTCTGTTAAGAACCTTGGGATACACCACCCCAAAAGCTAGCTCAAAGGGTGAGAGTGCTCAAAGCCTTATAAACTCCACATTAGTTGCACATACAACCAATGTGGAACTATATATCTCACCACGTCCCCTCACACGAGAGCCCATTGGACTTGAAGAGTGGAAGATGCAACAGGCCCAGTCTACCTGTGCTAAGAAAGTCCACAAGAGAAAGTGGGGGACGACGAGACTCTGATACCATGTAAAGAACCTTGGGATACACCACCTCAAAAGCTAGCTCAAAGGGTGGGAGTGCCCAAGGCCTTATAAACCTCACATTAGTTGCATATATTTCTCAACACGCCCCCTCACACGAGAGCCCACTGGGCTTGAAGGGTGGACAACATACAAGCCCACCTACATGTGAAAATTCCACTACAAAGAAAGTGGGAGGCGGTGAGATTTCGAACGCTTTGATACCATGTTAAGAACCTTGGGGGTTGAATTGGTTCTTTACAGATTCTTATTTTCTTTTTCTTTTTCGGGACGAATGAATACATCTCATTCAGGATTAAACGAAAGAGAGGAGAGACAAATAAAGGAGAGAGATGAGAAAAATCTGATTATATTGATTACGAAAGAATTACACACTTCTGATACTCAGAATAGGTAATATATATATATATATATAAACATATAAATTGAGTAACAAACTTCTAACAGATTAACCAAACTTTAAATGATCCTCTAGATGGATTCACTAACATAACAGAAAGAGGAGTGTATCTATACACACGTCCACATGCATTTAGTACATTTACTAACAATACATGTTATTATGCATTGTTTCAAAATCCTTCAATAAATTGGATTCATCTACCTTGCATTTATAACTTCTTCTTTTTTGGTGAAAAGCATTTATAACTTTGATCTATTGATCAAAGTTATTCTTTCAGATTTTGAATATAGACAACACTTATCCTATTATTTGCCTTTTAACAAGAAGGTTCAAAACAATAATACATGATGCAGATGACCTACTAGATGTTTTGGAGATTTAAGATTTGCAGTGCACATTCAAGTTTTGTAACAGAGTGATGAATGTCGTGGGATGATTTATTTTCATTTGATAATCAAATTGCTTGTCATTATGAATTAGCTCATAAGATTAGTTATTGGTCATAAATGAATTCAAGAGAGATATGAATTGAGGTTATATAATTTTTCAATTAAATCAAAGCTAATGATAACTTTTATCGATAAAGAAAATAGCAAATAGGTAACATTGCAATTACATGAGAAAAAATTCAAAAGGAATTGAGTAGGCATTTAGAATTTTTTAGAAACCTATATGTAGAGGTAACACATGTAGGAGAGAATAATTTACGCATGCAACTTTCATGTGTCATGCATACAATATTTATTTTTGTCATAAAATTCATATTTAACGTTAAAAAAACATGAACATGGATAATCTTGTGAGCTTAGAATTCTTCTCTTTTTTTTATTTTCTTTTTAAATTTATCTTATTTCGTAAGCAGTGCATCACTTGGCTTGTTATCATCAAAATTAAACAAGGTGTGACCCAACATTAGCAATATTCAATAGAATTTAAGTGATGTTACCAAAGATATGTCCAAGTTGAAACTGAACCCAAATTTGGAATATCCTACACAAAATGATAGTGCCAAGAGGGAAACAAGTTCTTTAATTTTACAATCAAACATAATTGGTAGGGAAGAAGACAGAAATGAAATTATTGACTTGGTGAAACAAACTAATACTGATACTACTAGAAAAGAACGGATATACAGTTTAGGTACATGGGCATGGGCATACAAGCAATCTCGGTCCTCCAACAAGCCACCATCTAGTATGTCCCATCAGGAGCACGACAGGAAGCACGAATTGGTTACGCAACTGCAGGGTATGGTTGCACAGCAAGAGAATGACCTGTCATTGGTATGGGGTACAGTTGCATAACTGGATAGTCTCATGTCAATGATGCAGAGGCAAATAGAACAAATGAAGAAGCTCATACGAAGGATTCCTAGGGTATTGTTTGATACTGAGGATGACGACGAGACTCGATCCCCTTCTCAGGACTTAGGTGATGACCATGATAATGAAGATCATCTAGTTGTATGAATTTTGTTGATATTGTTTGGATGTATTTGATTAGTATATGACATGGGTTTTTGTACATTTAATTCTATTAATTAAGGTGATTTGATTTTGATATGATTGGTATTAATTTTGTAGAGAGAGAAATTTAAAAAAAAAAGTCAATTTTTTTTACGGATCAGGTATTCCATTGAAAACTATGACAACAGTTTTCGACGAAAATTAACTGATTTTTTGTGGATAATTTTCAATGGAATCCGTTTTTCGTCAAAAAATATTTCAATGAAATTTTATTCATTTTTCGTCTATAATTTTAGGAGAAATTTTAATTATTTTTCGTCGAAATTTTTTTACGGAATTCATTAAATAAATAGTATTTTTGGCTGCTATTTTTTGATGAAATAATCAAACTTTTGACAGAAATTCTTTTTGGACTGAATCTCTAATTTTGTCAAAAATATCGTTATCTACGAAGAGAAATTTAACGACTTGAATTTCGTCGATATTTTCATTAAAAACTTCATTTTTTACGAAACTTTCACTTTTTTGTCGAAAAAATGGCATTTTCTAATAATGCGACCATAATATTTCTTTGACTACTATTAATTAATGTTGGCATTGGGGGTCTAGGTAAGACAGTTCTTGCTCAATTGGTGTACAATGATGATAAAATGAAGAAGTTTTTCGACAAATCAACGTGGGTGGTCGTTTCAGAAGATTTTGAAGTAAAAATTATTGTGAATTTTATTTTAAAATCATTATACCATTATGTATGTAATTGATGACTTAAAACAAGACCAACTATAAATGATGCTTCAAGAGGCACTGAATGGGAAAAGACACATGCTTGTCCTTTGATAACGTGTGGAATGAAAGTCAACTGCAGCGAAATGATTTAAGAACTCGTCTGATGTATCGAAGTCAAGGCACTCAGATATTAGTGATAATCACACAAATAATGGGTACTAACACCCCGTAGGCTTTACAAGGTTTGACAAACAAGCAATCATGGACTTTGATGAAGAACTTGACATTTAGTGAAAATGTCACTAGAATGAGCCCAAATCTTGAATCAATTGGTAAAAGAATTGTAGAAAAGTGTTGTTGAGTTCCACTAGCAATTAGAAATATGGGAGGCTTGTTACAAAATGAAGAAAGTGATTATTGGTTATATATTTTAAACGATGATACTTGAAAGTGGTGTGAAGACGATAAACATAGTATTATGATTTATGCCAGCGCTAAAATTGAGCTACCAAAACTTGCCACTTGCATTAAAAAAAAATGCTTGGCATATTGTTGTTTGTATCCCAAAGGTTGTTATATTGAAAATAATGAATTGATTCAATTATAGATGGCACAAGGTTACCTTCAAAGTTTAATTGAAACACAATCTACGAAAGATGTGCGCAATCAATGCATCAAGATTTTGTTGATGAGGTCATTTTTTTCAACATATGTCGAGTATACACATTGAGATAACTTGCTTCAATTGCATGAGTACTTTATGCATGATCTTGCAAAGTTAGTGGCTGAGAATGATTGTTCCCGAGTTAGCGAGGGAAAAGAATTGTTGAAAGACCCATGCACGTATTCATTGGATATATTAGATTTAAGTAAATTGCGAACCTTTATTTGTGGCAAAGCTCAAGTTAGATTTGTGACCAATTAAATCATATGTCATCCCAGAAGACATTCCTTTCCAAGATGATTTCATAGAAGCAGTGGCTGAATTCACTGCAAACTCAATATATCTCTTTAAATTTCCCATTTTTCTAGAACTGTCAGCAGTTTCAACTAAGTTGTTTATTTCACCTTTTGACATCCTCTCAAACTCTTCTTCAAAGCATCTAAACTCATCCATGGCACTTTGCATGACCGAGTCAAGGTAGTCCTCAGATTGTTGCATAGCAACATCTGCTTCTTCCACTTCTTTTTCTTGCTCAAGTTCCATATCTGCCCATGCCTTGTATGATTCAATCTCGAATAGCTTCATGAGGTCTTTGATTGTGGAAGGATCAAAATCTTTATCTTGCAAAGCTTGATCTGAGAGGAAGGTGAACTGGGAGATGAGGGCTTCCATTTTTTTTCTTTTGTGAGTGTGAATAGCTGGGTTTAGCACAAGAAAAAGAGGATGGTGAATCATATAAAAGATGGGTATTTGGCCTATTAGAGAGTTAAGAATTTCTTGGTTTAGAATTTGTTGTAGGGTCACGTGATACTAAAACCATATTGGACAAAGTCTTTTTGAGTAAAACTCTTGTGGGAGAGTCAAACATAGGATCTAAATAGTAAATATCTAATTATTAGAATTTAGATCTTTATTGGTTTATAAAACTTGTGGAAGAAATTCTTCTTATTTTTATCTTGGCTTAGATAAAATTTTCCTTCATAAATGTAGACCTCATTTTGCTGTGGAAAGGGCTTGGAGAGCCGTTGGAACTCCTTTTGTTCTATGCTTAAGACATTGTCTGAAGAGTGGCTTTTCTTATGTAACTCAGTTATGGAATCTCAATCATAGCAGGAGAGTGGGACCATTATTTTGGAAATTTGATGTTATCATTTCTCAAAGCGTGGATGGATGTGGACTTCTTGAGTGGGCGTTTGGTAGAGGAGAAAAAAAAATTTGTCTGAGAATCTCGATTTTCAAAAATATAATTTTTACATTCAGTTTACAATAATTTAATTTTCCAAAAATCCTGAAAAATAAAGTGTACCAAACGTCCCCTCATGAATGTAAAATAGGCTAGCTAGACGTTACCAGTCTTAGGTCTCTCAAGTTTGCGTATGTATCAAAATTTTAATTGTGAATGTGAAAATAACAATGTAAGTTTAATTGTAATTAATTAAATAATAAAAACTATACAAATTTAAAATGACGTGCGTGTAAGTGTGGATGGGTTAAGGTAAAAGAATGCCTTTTCATGCTGCTACAACAAATCATTTACACAGTGAGAAAAGTGAGGTAGATTATGACAGCTCACGAGGAAAATAGGAAGGTACGGAAGATAACTGGGTGAACGGATCGTCGGGGCGTTTGGTACAGGAAATTTTTTTTTTTTTCAGAAATTTCAATTTTCAAAAACATAATTTTTACATTCAGTTTATGATAATATCTGAAAATTTAAAATTTTAAAAAATTCAATTTCCTGAAAATCCAAAAAAATGCCGCATACCAAACGCTGCCTTAAGGTCAGACGGTCTGGCTTATGAACCGTAGTTAGTTGAGCAAATGTACAACTCACTGTACTTGTATGTCAATTTTTTCAAAAGGCACATTAATTACATAGTGACTTTTGGCAAAGTTTTAGTTTTTGTTTTTTTGTTTTTTAAAGAATGTCAAGCATATCAAATTCTCGTATTTTCCGTTACGAGGATTTGAATTGATGAGGGGATTAAGTTCATTATCGCTTAAATCAATGATTATTGTTTGATTTGTCTAAGTTGGCTTTAAGATAAATTTAAATATTGTACAAATTATTAAATATTACTCATGAAATGCGATTTTCTGCAATTAAAAAATCAACTGTGTTCCAATCAATCCTACATCTAGATACTTTTAATTCTTTTTTATACCAAACAAAACATTTTGACGAAGGAATTCATCTTGGAGACTTGTACTACATATGATCGCCATCCAATCAAACAAATACTTGTAAAATCCTTGATTAGTCATTCAACAAAATGAAATTTCACTTTTCTCCTCTTAAAATTAATATTGTGCAATTCATTTTCTACGCAAAAATAAAATAAAATGAAATCATGACATGATTCCAGAAATCAGATTATATTATAAATGTTTCAGAAATATCTAAATTCTAGCGATTAGATAATTTTTCTATTAGATACTTAAATTTGGGATTTGTTATGAATTGTCGTTAACAAAGGAAAAAAGATAGTTTCAATTTTATGTATAACTCTTGTAAATATTATTTACTGGTACATTATTCTATCTATCTATATATATATATATATATATATATTTTACTTTGAGGGCATGAGTATACTAAAAGAAAATGAATATTCATTCTATGTCAGTTGAATAATAAACTCGTTCGCATTCTATCTCAACTTTAAAACAGCCAAATCCAACTTTGACTGGAACAATTTCATTTAAATCTAACAGATTTTTCTTTGCGGGCCTGCAAGCCTAGTATATTCGATGATGGACCTCCACCATGGGCCTCTATACTGTTGTCTGTTGGGTCCAACTATGAATGCTAAGGTAAATTGTGAATTGTGAATCATGAAAGAAAAATACGATTTACCTTTTTTAACGATGAAGATAAAAAATAGGAAAAATATTTTCTATTATTTTTGATTTATAAAAAATGGTTTTTTTTTTTGGGGGTGGGGGCGCGACATGTTGTGCCGGGAAAAAAAGTCTAAAAAAAAAATAAAAAAATAAAAAAATAAAAAAGGTTATATTTACAAAGGGAAAAACATATATCCTTTTAAAGGATATAAGCTTATATCATTTTATATCCTAACGATTGATTTTCGTCCATCAACGGTTATAATTTATTGGGTCAAATTTAATGGGCCAAATTTATTATTAATTAATTAATAATTTTGATCCAATAAATTAAAATCGTTAATGAACGAAAAATCAACGGTTAGGATCTAAAATGATATAGGATTATATCTTTTAAAATGACATATATTATTCCTATTTACAAATTAATTAATAAATTTGAACTATAAATTATAATCGTTGATTGACAAAAATCAACAGTTATAATTTAAAATGACACAAAATTATATGCTTTAAAAAATAAATGCTTTTCCCCTTAGTTATTTTATTTGAGGACAATTATATTTACAAATTAAATAGTTTATAAACTCTTAGAAGGAAATTTTAAATGTTAATTTTTGTCAATTTGAAGCTTATAGTTTATGAAAAAAAGTGTTTGTCATTTTAAATGACATAATATTATGTCATTTTAAGAGAGAGATAGACACAAAATAATATTTTTTATTTAAAATTTAAATTAAAAAAACCATTCACTTTCTACCCTATGATTTCCATTCTTTGTGTCTATCTCCCTCTTATAATGATATAACTTATGTCATTTAAAATGACAAACATCAAATCCATAATTTATAGGGTTACATTTATTAAATAGTTTATCAACTCTTACAATCAAATTTTATTCGTTTGATTTTCGACAATCTAACGATTATAACTTTTTGGATTATATTTATTATTTAATTATTAATTCTCAAAGCGGCGAAAATCAATGATTTATTATAAGAATTTTTAAAATTATTTAGTTTGTTAAATGCGAAAAATGTTTATCCTTTTAGAGGATAATTTTGTGTAATTTTATATTTTAATTGTTGATTTCCGTCAATCAACAATTATAATTTATTGATCAAATTTATTAATTAATTAAAAATTTAGAATAAATTATAATCATTAATTGACAAAAATCAACAGTTAAAATCTAAAATGACACAAGATTATCCTTTAAAATTATAAATATTTTTTTCCATAATTAATAAAACAAACGGGGGAGTAAAACTGAAATAAAAATTACCATGCCCAGATATAGATCCAAAGAGTGAAGCGTTACATTCTTCATTGCTCAAAATTAAGTGAGAAAGAAGAGAAACCTTATTGTGTCCATAGAGAGAGAGAGAGTGAAAGTGAAAGTGAAAGGGAGAGAGAAGGGGTTATGGGGAACATAGCTATGTTAACTTCGTTATCCCTCTTCCTCTGCATCTTCTCAATCAATCTTGTACCTTCCGCTGTCGCTGTCTGGATCACATTACCCGCCTCTGGCACCAAGTGCGTCTCCGAAGAAATCCAGAACAATGTCGTCGTTTTGGCCGATTACGTCGTCGTTCCTGATGATCCCTCCCACGTCCCCACCATCGCCGTCAAGGTACCATTTTTCCCTTTCATACGGCAACCCTTTTCGGATTTATTTCGTGGGTCGTTTTTTAATTGTTTTTATTGTCTGTTTTTCTTTCCCTTGTTGTGATTTTTTTTGGTTTCTGAGAAAATTGAGGTGGGAATGTATTGAGTTCCTGAATTTTCGTGTCGTGTGCCTATTGTAGTACTTGATAAATTGTTGGGAAGATTTGTTTTGTCGTGGATTTGATGTTTTACAGTTTGGGAAAATTCTTATTTGTATTGGTTATGTTGTGGTTGATGTTATTACCTTATAAAAAATACATATTTATCATTGTTAGATTTAGCATTGACTTTGTAAAATTAGTTGATGAACAAAAAAAAAAAAAAAAAGAGTTAGGGAGGATTTAGTGAGATGTTTTCCATTAATTAAGTATTTGACAATTTGCAGTTGCCTAATTGATTAGTTGGAAACTCATGTTGTGGACCACGTTCAGAAAACCGTGCTTTTTGTATGTTAATTTTAGATGTGAGCTTCAAGAAAGTAGTATCCAAGTATCTTATTTTGATCAACAAATTTTTTGTGATGTTTTTCATGAATGCATGCTTATCTTGTCGGTACTTTTATGATATTTTAAATCTTGATGGCTATCACCTCTTTGTTTTTTTACATATGTCTATCAGTGAATGTAATTTTCATTGCTCAAAACTTCTCAACTTTGTTTGAATATGCTTATTTATGGAGCCTGAGTGGCTTGGGCTTAATCAGTTTTATGATAATCATACCCACAAATTGAACCTTTCTTCACATTCACTGTTATTGAGTAATTTGTTTCTGGAGATGTTTTGATAGTGGAAAGTGGACGCATCTTAGAATATGATTAACATTCATGTGGATTTGATTTTGATGGTTGGAATGTCTTACAACATGGTTCAGAGAGTAGTATCCTTGCTGTGCTGATGTCTTGCCAAGATCAAAGATAGCAGAGCTAGAAACATCAATACCTTAGCTACCTGGGCCATGGATCAATTGCATAATAACTTCAAATAAAAATGTCTCTAGTCTGTACAGAAATGGGGTTGAATAATTGTGAAAAGCATGCACTTTAAGTACTAATAGTTTAATTTCTGTTATTGAGATCTACTCATGTCATCAATATATAACTTTGGTTGGATCTTGAATGACCTTCTGATATCAGCTTGTTTATTTTGTCTATGACTTGTCTCTTGGTTTTAAATAATAATATATTTTCTTTAGGTGACATCACCATATGGAAACAATCTTCATCACAGCGAGAACACAACACATGGTCATTTTGCATTTACAACTCAAGAGACTGGGAACTACCTGGCATGCTTCTGGGTGGATGGCCATAATAAGCATGGAGGTGGGGATGTTAGTGTGAACCTGGATTGGAAAATTGGAATTGCAGCCAAGGATTGGGATACGGTTGCTAGAAAAGAGAAGATTGAGGTAAACATCTAAGTGATAGCTATAATTTCATATCTACCTATAAATATTGCATAGAACTTCTGAGTTTTACCTCTTGTGGGCTGATATTTTCTCAAGGTATAATAAGAAATGAGTTCAGACACTGTTTTAAAATGGATTTTAAGAATTCGTGCTTGTAGTTTCCTTGAATATTTTTTGCATTGTAAACTGGAAATCTTTCTGTAATTATTTGCAAGTGAATTGAATTCTATACCTCTTCTCTTTCCTTTTGAATGCTTCTTTTTGCTGATTTCTGTCTCTACATGTGATTGATACCTAGGGAGTTGAGCTTGAGCTGAGAAAGCTGGAAGGAGCAGTAGAGGCAATCCATGAGAATTTGCTCTATCTGAAGGGCAGGTAATTCCGATCATAGAGATTTCTTTTTTTTTTCGAAAATTATTTTTAACTTTCCTTATTTGTAAAAAAAAAAATATATATATATATATATATATATATGTTTTTTTTTTTTTTTTGTATTTGCTCAGGGAAGCAGAGATGAGGATCGTGAGCGAAAAAACAAATGGCAGAGTGGCATGGTTTAGTGTTATGTCCTTGGGTGTCTGCATTGCAGCTTCAGCTTTGCAATTGTGGCATTTGAAGCGATTCTTCCAGAAGAAGAAGCTCATATAGATTATGCTAGTGTTAATTTTATTTTATTAGTGAAACAACAAACGTATAATAACATAAGCTTTTTTGTGAACTCTACTTACAAGTAGTAGCCAGAAAATTTAGATACCATTTGTAGAGTTTCCAACTTTTCTTATCCACAGAAGCTTATTATAATGCATTGTCTTATGTGATATAGGATATGCAACCCGGTGGGTAAGAGGGAAAGAATTTGAATGAAATAAAAGGGGGAGTGGATCCAATTTTACAGAACTTGGTAATGTCATAATTGAGTTTATTTCTCCATTAGTATTGATAAATTTTGATTGGATTCCACTTATTTAATGTGTAGGAAGTGAAAAGACATAAAATTTGGACGTTACTAAGTGATGTGAAATTTTAATGTGACAGGATTTACATCCGATAAAAGGTGCATCTTTGGATGTTTATTAACTACTATATCTGTGCTGGGGACTACTGGGTAGGATAAGATCATTAAGGATTGTGTTGAATCACGGTTAAATGATTCGGTTGCTATTGATATCGGGGATGTAGAAGAAAGGTGTAATGTGTTAACTTACTGATGATATTGCTAAGGATATGTTTGGTAGAAGAGAAAAAGGTGAATTAGAGGTGCAAGTGAATAAAGAATCCTATTATTCTTCAAGATATTGATAATGTATTAGTATGGCAATATAGTTACAAACTTGAGGTGTTTACGTTTCTTCTGTTTCGTGAATTCTTTTGGGAATTTAGGGAAAGCCCATCTTAAATAAGCAACCTGGGTTTGGGTGAAAGATTGGGCAAGCTTGTTAATTTTCAAAGCTAAGTTCGATTTTCTCCGTGAACTTGATTTGGTTTATTCTAAAGATGAATATGAACTTCAGTCGTAGATTTTTGAATTAGTTGTTTCCAGTGAAATTCTTCTTTTACTTCAAGCATATTGGCCTCTGTAAAGTGTGTGTGTGTGTGTGGATATATTCATGGATGCGGATGCTAAGCTACTTGAAACAAGCTTTTCTTCCTTTCTCTCAATGCTGGACTTCATTGAGACAAATCTTAAACAAACAGCCATCACTCCGAACAAAATAATAAAGACACCAAACAAAAAAGAACATAAAATTGTATAATGTATTATTTATAAATCATTTAATTTTTTATTGAAGTTCTGGCAAAAACAAAGTTTTGTTTAAAGATACTTAATGGATAACATACATAAGCCCCTTGCTTATTGTGATTCACAATTTTTTGTTTACCGGTGTATATACCATCACTTTTGTCATATAAACTTCTTTTGTATAACATTTTTTTTTTGGTGAAGACTTTTGTATAACATTTTAAATCATTGGTTAACTGTCCATTTTAGCTTCTATAATTTAAAATGGTGTATTGCATAATATTCTAAAAGGAAACTAGTATAATTAGGATCTTTGAAGTAACTGTATGACAGAGATGCTAAACCTTTTATTCTCCAAATTTCCTGAAAAAAAGTCGATTTTCAAATGGAGTTAAAAACAACAAAATCATAAACCAAAGAGAAGTTAACAAATTAATCAGCTCCCAGAATCATAATCAGTTCAGCAATCCTCAAATTAACATGAAATGTCAATGGCAGAGTTTAAAAACTTTGTAAAGGGGCCTTAGATAGAGAAACCCCATACAATAAAGTTAATGGCTTCCTCAAGGGCTTTATCAACTAAATCACAATGGCGAAGTTCAGAAGCATGGTAGCACCTCCCTGCTCCGCCACTGAGTGTCTTAAGAATGCATCAAGAAATAAATGCCTCTTTGTGAGCTTTATACTAATCGAACTATGTTGCGGTTCATGTATCTGAACCGGCAAATATCATCAAAAAATTCATCATCACTGTTATAGCAGCTCTTCATCTCAAGAATCCTTATAACCATTGTCCTAAGACTTTTCCCGTACATCAACAAGGATTCAAGAGTATTCATTTTCTGTTCAGCATTTAGTGGTGACCTCACCGTGATCACAACCTCCTCCAAACACGGAATCACAAATCCTAAATCGACCTGTAAAATGAGCGAGTAACTTCATTAAATGAGATATTAGAGGACACCCTCAATGAGAAGCGTAATATCAAAGTTACTATGAATTTACTTGTTTCAGGCTGTTCTTCTGGCATAGTGCTGCAAACATGGCTCCATGAATATCAAACTTTCGCAGTTTTTGATGGCTATTGAAAAAATCAACAAAATCAATCTCTGGAAAGGGTTGAAGAGTGTCATGGTCCCCAGTGAATTCAATCTTCATGTAGAGATGTTTCACCTCAATTGCCAATTTCAGCATTTTGCATATTGCATCCCAGCACCACTGGATCCCCCTCATTGACAGGACCTCCAGAGCTGTAAGATTTCCAAAATCAACCATATATACTCTCCCTGGAAGCAATCAACGTCAAAGGAAAATCAAGCTGAAGAGGCCAAAAAGACAAACTCTCGAGATTACTTGGAAACAACGGGGCAAATGAAGACGGATAATAAGAAATATATATAAATACAGTAATCACCATAAACAGTTAATTACCTGCGGTATTAGATATCGAAAGATTCCTCAAATGCTTGGTTTCAGGGACCCTAATCCAGCTACAGCCTTGTACCTCAAGGGATTCAATTTTCGGGGAGGTTAGAGTAAGTGAACAGTTCCCCGAGCCATAAAAATCTAGCTTACACTGCTCTAAATATGGCAAGTCCATTGAGACTGACCTAACCCCTTCACATCCAAGCAGTAACAACCTGGTGAGAAATGGACACGACTGAAGCACCACATTCAACACATGGTCCTCCAATCTTGTACCAATTATTTCAAGGTTCTTGAGATTCTGGAAGACATCCCATTTGGGGCTATGTATCATTAAGACACCCCAGAGTTTCAGTGATTCCAAATTCCTTGCTGCACCAACGCAATTCAACTTTGATGGGGATTCAAGGAAGCCCTGGTTATCAGCAAGGTTGTCCATTCGGAGCTCAAGCTGACGAAGAGATAGACCCACAAGTGACAGCCATGATGCAAGGCCAGCAGGGGAGAAAGGGCAATACACGATTAGCTCTTCCAACCGCGCGACCCTTGATACCATTCTTTTCACAATGTTGTCAGGACTCTCACCACATGAAGAAGGGTTATCAAATGAGCTGCGAGGAAAATAGAGGCTCCTGATGTAAGGCGTGGAGTCCTTCCATCGCTTCGAAACACAATTGCAAGCTGCCACATCCCGAGCATTGTTGATATTGGAAAAGATATATTGAAGGATGGCATCAGGGAGAGACTCCATATCTGAAGGCCAAAAATCAAATAGATCATTGTTAGATTCAACACCATCTCTCAAAACCACGCAATTATCAAAAAGAAAAAAGAACAATAATTGGTGGCTATCATGCCCAAGTATTGGAAGAGTTCATAAACCTAAACAAATCTTCTTACTCTCTCATCACAATCTCCCTAAAGTTTAGTTCCAATTTCTTTCTAGTATCCTATGAAAAAAATTCTTCCTTGATTAGAAAATTTGCATTAAACAGTAAAGTTTGCAACTTTAGTTGCCAGTTCAACTATCCACGCATCTAGAAACATGAACTCGAAAAAAAAAAAAAAAATTGAAGGTACTAACGATAAACAACAGCTCAAAATCTCTATATAATTGCTAAGCAGTGTAGTGGAATTGATGATAAATTTGCATTTAGCATAGATAGAGAAACATACATAGAGTTTTAGCATCAGATCTTAATTTGAGATGGATATGAAATGAAATATTTACCCATTAGAAACCCTGAGTAGCAGCAGCTTGCATCGAAGATCTAGGGTAAGGATGCCTCTCTTTCTCTCTCTTTATCTTAGTTAGATTAGAGATAGAGAGAATTTCTCTCTCTTGTCTTGAATAGAGACAAAGAGAGAAAAAGGAGCGGGATTTTTTGGATTTTGGTATTTCAAAATTTGAACACCATTTTGAGAATATTTAATAATAATAATAAAATGAATAGAAAAACGCTGTTGCATCTGTGTCCGGACAGAATCAAAATGAACCCGCTTTTCTTTTTGGATTTTTCAAATTCATCCCTCCCCCACTCAAAAATTTCCCACACATGCCAAAAATTTAGTCTTAAAAAATGAATGCGTGATTATATTAATTCCTCAAAGATTTTTATTCTTAAATTATTTTGTCAAAAATTAGCAAGTTACTGTTTTAGTTCTTCAAATATCTTGTCATCAAATTGGTTTACTAAAAAATTCAAAATTAATATCGTGACATGTTAATATTTTAATGATCAAATTTAAAGTTTATCAAAAAACATAAAAATTAGCATGGAAGATCTAGGGTGGATGTAAGCTCAATAACTACATTAAAGTAATTTTCTTATAAGGTATAATAATAATTATATTTATTATATATTAATATATAAGTTTAATTCAATCAATTTAACCGATGACATATTCAATAACTTATTAACTCATATACTTGACCTTTGAATTTAATAACTGCAACCCTAGGGTTACCTCTCGGAGGAGAGAGGAGGAAAACAGTCATAGATACACCGGATAATGTGCCAAAGCTCTAGGCACAAAACACAAGTTAACATTACTTTATCGATTAGAAGATGTTTTTAATTAGTTGTTTCTAATTAGTTGTATTCCCTGGCTCTGATACCACTCGAAAGTTGGAAATGGCCTTGAAGGCCGATGTATGCTGTAGAAAAAAATAAAACTTTTTCATTGTGGAACACACATGCATTCAAGATCATGCTTTAGGAAAGCATGATGTTACCTTGTTCGTGAAAACTCGTGATGATCAAGGTAGGTCTGAAGGGTTCAGACCCTCTAACGTTGATCTACACCACCCACTGCGTCTAGGTGCGAGAACTCCTTCTTGTGAAACCACCAAGTGATCACTACAATGAGGTTTGCTAAGCGCACACTGTGTGAAGAGAAAGGCTAGGTAAAAGTGTTTGAAAGAGTGGAGCTTTCAATGTGATATCTTCACAAAAGTGGTGCAGGAGAGGAGAAGAGAATGACTTGGTTGGTTTTTTAAAAACCCTAAAAGGAACATACATATATATATATATATATATATATATATATATATATATATATATATATATATATGGACGCACAAGAGGAGCCTATTTGTTAAAAACAAATCAGATTTTTAATCAATAAAAATCCCTTCCAAAAGGGCGCTCCATCAAAGAGAGAGAATAGGATTTGTTGCAAATTAAATCTCATCAAATTTTGCCAACAACATCCTATCATATCTTTATGATATATTAGGTTCAAAACCTAATCAAATATCTGATCATAAATCATCATATAATCAGTTATATGGTGCGCCCCATATAGCCTAAATAATGACCAGATACATTTGAGTAGTTGCATTCAAACTTGAATCAAATCACTCAAATATTCTCCCAACAGATCGTATCTTCTGGAGCTGATTCTGATGACTAACCAACAGCCAAATCAGCACCCCCAATCTTCTTAGATTATGTCCAAAAGATTTCCTCTTGATATGTTTTAACGAGATCTCATCTTATCCTTTTGTTATGAAACAACTTTTCATAGCCAATTCAAATTTGAATTTCAAACATTTGAATTCAAACTTTCAAACACTTAAATTTTAAATTCAAATTCAAATTCTAAATTCAAATTCAAATTTCAAATTTCAAATTTCAAATTTCAAATTTCGAATTCAAAATTCGAATTTCAAAATTCAAATTCAAAATTCAAATTCAAATTCAAATTTCAAATTTCAAATTCAAATTTCAAAATTCAAATTTTAAATTCCAAAATTCAAAATTTAAATGTTTGATAATTAATTTAACTAATTAAATTAATTAGTAATGACTTGGACTATCCAAGCCCATTACAATGATCCATGCGCCCTCCACCCCTTTAGGTGGAGTTCCAAACAACTTCTTGGGCTAATAACTATTATTAGGCCCAATACCTTTAATGCTAGAGCATCTAGACAATTAGGTGTTTGCGTGTGACCCATTAGGTCCAACATAACCACTGACATAAAAGAGCCTGGGCCCAATAAGCTCACAACCCATCTAATGACAACACAGAGCACTAGCAATGCTTTGTTGCCCCAGAACTAGTTAGATTAATGATTTGATCATCTTATTAAACATATTTGGTTGCCGTATGTTTGTCCCTTCGTCTCGGTTACCTTCCCATAAAACCTAGGGTAAAGAAACGTATCATCCCTTGCTGTTTAAGGTCAGCTTTTTATGAAATAGGGAGTCTTCAATTTACTGACTCTAAAAGCATATCATCTTATGATCTCTTTTACTATGCATAGATTCTCGAGTCATTGTAAATGTCATTCCGATTCTCCGGTTTAAGGATAACCTAATCTCTCACAGAGATTTGACGAATTCCTTCAGCTTATTACCCTAGCCCTGTGCCCTATCAGGACAAGCCCAAGAGCATACCTATGAGTCTCCATGTTTCAGGCAGACGAGGTATACAATCAAGGCATGCCTTCTAGAACACAGTCTAAGTGATAACTTCTGGTCTAAGGAAAGACATACACAAATATATAGAGACTACTCTAATGATACTATCTGTGAGATTTCCTCATAGAGTCTCTTTGAGGGTCCGTTCAGTGCGAGTTATACCCTTATAGGTCCACCCACGACTTTAGCTAAGACATCTCCATATCTGTAGTACATGAGGTCTATACCTTGTATCCATATACAAGTAGATAAGTCGTGTTAGTCTTACCCGAGATTACTGACCCCATTCTCAGTATCTCTAGACTAGGAACATAAAATTAGGAATAAACATCTGGTATTCTTGAATCCTCATGATTGTGATCTCATCACGGATACTCAAGAGATACCTATTTTATTCCACGGGGTTTATCAAGTTATTCATAATATATTAACATTAATATCGAGACATAATTATGAAACAAAATAAAGAGTGCTTTTATTTATTTGCGACAATATTAAAAAGGTCTACATCTATGTCTTTATTTAATCATAAGATTGTCTATAGGACACCCAAATACTAACAAGCTCTCACTTGGCCTAGAGCCAATCAGACCTAAGTCGTATACCTAAAGCCTCATAATGACTATCATGTTTTCTCTGAGAAACAGCCTTTGTCAGAGAATCGGCCAGGTTATCATCTGTGGGAACATAATCCATCTTTACATCCATCCTATCAATGATTTCTCTAATCAGGTGATATCTGCGGAGCACGTGTTTAGATCTTTGATGAGACCTAGGTTCCTTTGACTGCGCAATGGCTCCAGTGTTGTCGCACAGCAACTGTATGGGCTCATCCACGCTTGGAACCACCCTTAGTTCAGTTATGAACTTCTTGATCCACACGGCCTCCTTAGCCGCTTCTGAAGCAGCTATGTATTCAGCTTCTGTCGTTGAATCTGTTGTTGTCTCCTGCTTGGAACTCTTCCAAGACACTGCCCCACCATTTAAGGTGAATACGAACCCTGACTATGACTTGCGAATCTTTGTCACTCTGAAAGCTGGCATCAGTGAACCCTTTCACTATAAGCTCATTAACCCCACCATAGACAAAAAATGCATCCTTAGTTCTTCTCAAGTATTTAAGGATGGTCTTGACTGCCGTCCAGTGACCCTCTCCAGGGTCAGACTGGTATCTGCTCGTAATGCTTAAAGCATATGAGACATCTGGTCTCGTACATATCATGGCATACATAATGGACCCAATAGCCGAAGCGTATGGAATTCCACTCATGCGATCCTTCTCAGGCTGTGACTTAGGACACATAGCCTTTGAAAGATGTATCCCATGACTGACAGGTAGAAAACCCCTTTTCGACCCTTCCATGCTAAACCTTTTTAGCATCTTGTCAATATACGTGGATTGAGATAAACCCAGCAGCCTGTTTGATCTATCTCTATAGATCTTTATACCAAGTATAAAGGCCGCCTCTCCCAAATCCTTCATGGTGAAGCTTTCTTAAAGCCATTCTTTCGTTGTTTGTAATGTGGGGATGTCATTTCCTATAAGCAATATGTCATCTACATAAGCACTAGGAAGACAACATTACTCCCACTAACCTTCCTATAAACACAAGGTTCATCCTCGTTCTTGATGAAACCGTTACTCCTAACGACCTCATCAAAACGAATATTCCAACTCCTTGATGCTTGCTTTAGCCCATATATCGACCTTTGAAGTTTGCATACCATATGCTCCTGATCTTTGATTACAAAGCCTTCAGGTTGTGTCATGTACACTTCCTCCTTCAAGAACCCATTCAAGAAGGCGGTCTTGACATCCATTTGC